TATACTACTATATTATATATATATATATATATATATATATATATATATATATATATATATATATATATATATATATATATATATGTATATGTATATGTATATGTATATGTATATGTGTATGTATATGTATAGATGTATATATATATATATATATATACTTTCTGTACTCGGCTGTGGGGGTTTTATGGTCACATTATTATCTAGACTGCGAGTTTGATCCTTCGTATCAGCAAAGCTAAGAAGCAGGATTCGTTATGCAAACTGGCTTGCCTTCCGCTTTGCAAAGAAATTCGACAACACTCAGTACTGATATAAGGAAAGAGCTTCAACCGACCTAGCGTCCTGGTTATGCCTACAATATATTTATTTAACTTCTCTTTTATTGATAAACATAAATAGACTCCCATTTCTCACTCACACATCCCCTCTCTCGCTCATTTCGACCTCACGAATTGACCTGTGCATGTTTTTTGCTTCACATCTCAGCATAACGAATTAACATGTCTTCCGAAGCGGACCTTTGAGAGCAATAGCTTACAGTTCTTCAGTGCATGTTGGAATAAAATTGAGGCTCTGCCCACACAGGTACGCTGCGAGGCTGTCGGTGTATTTGCTAACGCACAAGGCACATGTGTCTTGTAACCCTAAACCCTAAAATCCCTACAGTGCATGCATCTATGTAGTGTACTTTTCCGCTATATACTGTATATTGATGACATATGTGTGTGAGCTGTGAAGAGTATGAGAGTAGTCTCGTACGGTTGTATGTATGTCCGTGCTGGGGGAAGGTTGAAAGGCTGCCCACACAGGGAGTCCGGTCTATAGACATACATACAAACACACAGATACACCCATGTTTATGTGACAACAGTGTGTGCATGCTTATAATATCTATGTTTGGCTCCTATATAAGACTCACGTTCTCCGTGGATACATTTTACAGTTAAGTTTGATGCCACTTGACATTGTGGTGTATGTATTATGTATTTTGGGCCGGTGCATTCTATTTCCCGCGCCTGTATCCAAAATTACTTGTCTGTTTGCCTCAAACGAGCAGTCTCAGAACGGATACAAACGGCCTACGCATGATTCATACGACAAGGAAGGTGCAAAACATATATTAACGTTCTATAATATTATAATAATAAAATATATTATACTTCGACTAAGTCAGTGTCATGATGTTTTTGGAACTTTTTGGCACTTCTGCAGGTGTCCAATCCCAATTTAGTCGATATTCGGTTACAAAACAATCGGATCAAAGTGCTCCCGCCGGCATTTGATCAGTTCCATCAGTTGCGAACGCTGCAGATGTCAGGCAACCCTCTGGAGGTGAGGTTAATGGGTCGGATGATCGAATACCTGATTAATATACTCAGCAGAATGCGATGAAATGGGTTTATATTCAAATCATATAAGAACGAAAGCTATGCACCCTAAACTCTAGACCCCTAAACCCTAAAACCCTCAAACTCTAAAATTCTAAAACCCCAAGTCATAAAATAACGAAACTTATGTACAATTGTTTGCTAACCATATCCCTTGTTCGACCACTCACGCATTTCCCTTCGCTGTAGGCCTCTATGTCGCAAACATGATATATATATATATATATGTATATGGTATGTGCCTATGTATATATATATATATATATACCCAATTTTCCGCATCACCACACTCCCCTCAATCCGTAGACCATTCCTGTGTGATACACCTACACACGTACACGCAAACGTTCCTCTCTCGATACAATTTCTATGTGCGATAGTCACGCATACATGCACACCTATACTCAAGCATGCATATACACCTATATCCACGCACATATACACACGCACACTCATTCCTCGTCCTAGGTAATATGTTTAATGCCAAAATCACAATCTTTCGCGCACGCCGTTCGTCTATGCCAAAATCTTCTCTTCTCTCGGCAATCTCTGCTAGACGCCATCCCCACACACAACCTCCCACCTTTTCTTTCTCTGGGTGATTTCCGGCTTCTGCAATATGTGAATGTACGGAATACAGCCACCCCATCCATTACATTTAACATGTGCACAAATACCCACTTACCTGCTCTCTACCCTGCATTCAACACATATGTATGTATATATATATGTTTTTATTGTATATAGGTATGTATGTATATATATATATACATATATATATATATTTAAGTGTGTGTGTGTGTGTATGTACGTATGTATATATGTATATATATATGTGTGTGTGTGTGTATGTGTATATGTATGTATGTGTATGTATGTATGCTTGCCCATACTCACTCTCTATCCTGTATGCCACACTCACGCCCACCTACACACTGCTACCATACCCTAGGCCGTCCCCGGCTTCTGCAACTCCAATGCGAATGTGATGGAAGAGGTCAGTCTCTCGCATTGCCAATTGGACGATAGCGTATGGGCGTGCATTCTCACCATGACGCGTTTGCGCATATTGGACCTGAGCTACAACCGCAGTATCACGGAGCTTCCGCCGGCGCTGGGTGCGAGATGCCCTAATTTAGAAATAATCAATCTGGTGGTAGGTGGCGAGTCTTGTGCTTTTCTTTGTACTTGTACTGGTAGCTCCGCGTGGTGTCTGTGTGCGGATTTGCTCTGTACGTACATCTGCTTGTCCGGTTTGCGTTTCATTGTTGCTGTTATAGTGTAGGGTTGTTGTTATAGTGTAGGGTTGTTGTTTGTTGTTATAGTGTAGGGTTGTTGTTTGTTGTTATAGTGTAGGGTTGTTGTTTGTTGTTATGTAGGGTTGTTGTTGTAGCGTGTTGTTGTTATAGTGTAGGGTTGTTGCTATAGTGTAGGGCTATTGTTGGCCATCCTGCGGTTCCATTTTGAGCATCCATATCTACCTCACACTCCACGTACTTTTGACTCGACCCCTTCTTGCCTTGTTTTCCCTGTCGATGTCGTTTGAGCATGTATGCGTATGAGAAACTGTGTGTGTGTGCGTGTGTGTGTGTGTGTAGAGATATAGCGCACATGTTCGTGTGTGCCATGGGAGTACCTACCTGTTCACACCTTCACGACCTGTGACATTGCATCGCCAATACAAATGTTAACGTTCGTGGTAATCTCAAGTCCACACAGCAGGCGAACTATTCATTGGCTGAAGACTGTCATACACATTTGAACTCATTAGCACTAGAGGAGTGTCTAGTTCACAGTCAGTGTCCCGGCAGAGTTTGCGCCGTGCCTCGCATACAGACCTGTGCATCAGCCTGGGGTCACTTCTGCTGGTTTATAAATAGCACTTCTGTGTCTCAACCCTCTGCTTGTGTGCGTGTGTTGGGTTTGTTGCCACAAGTGCTTTATGCCTGATGTGTGAACGCACCTACCCAGATAGTACGTGGTCCATTGAACAGTGCGTGCTATTACTTCAGGCGTTAAGTGTTCTTTCCGTGCGGTAGACGAAGTTGCTGTAGACTGTTCCTATGGTGTTCGTTGAGCAGGCTGTGGGGGCACCAACAGCCCTGAACAATGGTACCGTACGTATTCTGTAGGCGACTATACCTGAGCAGGTACTTGGTGAAGCGGCCGTATATGGGAGTTCAGAGGCTACCAGCAATGTGCTTACGCTCATGTCTGATGCTCACGTTATGTGTCCCATTGAGATGTACACCACACATATCACCTGCTAAGTAGCGTGTACACTTTTCTGTAGTGTCATTTATGTCTGATGCTCACGTCATGTGTTGTATTGTAGCATACACCACACACATCACCTGCTAAGTAGCGTGTACACTTTTCTGTAATGTCATTTATGTCTGATGCTCACGTCATGTGTTATATTGTAACATACACCACACACATCACCTGCTAAGTAGCGTGTACACTTTTCTGTAGTGTCATTGTCCTCTCTCGAACATCGAAACACCATCAACGCGTTCAACTATGCAACACGTCCAACTCAGCCACTTGGACCTGGGACCTATGTTGTTGTTCTTTTTAACACAGACCCAGCGCGTATAACGTGGACGTTTACACTTCTTCACTCATACACAACACTCGAGCCTTTCCCCAGATCACTCATACACAACACTCGAGTCCTTCCCCAGATCACTCGTACACAACACTCGAGTCTTTCCCCAGATCACTCATACACAACACTCGAGTCTTTCCCCGGATCACTCATACACAACACTCGAGTCTTTCCCCGGATCACTCATACACAACACTCGAGTCTTTCACCCACCCGGCCATTAGCTCCGTCCGTGTGGGCTCATTGTCTGCACCTCATCTCTCGCTTTCCAGGGCAACGATCTGCACGATATCACACCCATCCGCAGCATCAACGGCGTGAAGCAGTTGTTCTTAGGCCGTAATTTCGTTACCCAAATCCCGTCGCCGATGTTCTTACCTTCCCTATTCCACCTGGATATGAGTTATAACAAGGTAAGTTCTGTGACTTCCGCATCGTCTAAGCGCTTAAATCGTGGCGTTAGATTTTAGGGTTTAGTAGTCATGTACGTCTCTTGCCTTCCCGTGTGCTCGTTGTATTATTGAGTTGTGTAGACGTCGTTTCGGGGTGTTTCAGCCAGGAATTGTGTCTTCCGCGGGGCAGCACTGGTTCAGCCAGGAATTGTGCGCTGGCCTGTGCGAATGTGTGTTTGTTTGTGTGTGAACATTCATATTTTTGCAAGTGTGTATACGTATGCGAGAGAGAGAGAGAGAGAGAATTACTTCTATTGGTATGTAAGTGTACGTATGCGAGAGAGAGAGCGAGAGAGAATTACTTCTATTGGTATGTGTGTGTACGTATGCGAGTGAGGGTTATTTCAATTGGTTTATGTGTATGTATGTGTTTGCATGTGTGTGTGTGCTTCTGGTGTGTGTGTAAGTATGTCTGTGTCCGCATGTGTTTAATTATACGTCTTCCTGCGTCTCCTATTAAATTCGTTTATTCTACATCTTGTCTGCTCACAGTCCGTTCTGTTTGGACTAATATGCACTGGCCGGCCCAATATCTTCCCGCTCTGCGAGTTCTAATACATAGTTTGCGAAGTTATCTACCAACTGAGATGCATGTGTAGTGTACGTATCGTTAGAGCGTGTAAACCACCACCAATCACGTCAGACATGTGGTTCAAGCCGAAGCATCGGTCACCCGTGACACGTTACTCGCTTTGTCGTAGCTGTATCGCTCTGACCTTGACCAGACCCACGCCGCAGTGCGACCCAGTGCTTAGGTTTTAGGGTTTTGCTAGTTCCGGCCCATTGAGTTCATTTGGCACTGAGGCGTATACTACTGACCTGGCCATATGTTTTGTATTGGGTGTGACAGTTGGCGACATGCGATCTCACCCTCACGACGACGCTCAGGGTGCTCGAGTTACAGGGCAATGACAATCTCCAACCGGTGTGTGGTATACCCGCCTTCGCACACGTCTGTTACATCAAAGCCAACTTAAAGAGTGCGCGTGTGCTGTTGTTGTCTGCACCACTAATCCCCCGTCAGATCGGATGTGCTGCGTTGTATGTCTCGTGTTCACTTGACAGGCCAGCGTTATCTAAATGCTGTGATATTTTGTATGTATTCTAGATTGTAGTCATTGTGGCTTGTGGATTCTATTTTCTGTATATGTGCCCACCATTGTCGAGGCCTTTTCCGCAATATTGCCACTACGTATGGCTCAGACGCAAACCTTAAAACACTATACGTGTTGAAGGTTGGTATAACCAGCGGTGGTAATCTACCAGTAGCTTTATATATATAATATATATATGTATATGTATATGTACATATATATATATATATATAGATATGTATATGTATATGTACATATATATATATATATATATAGGGCTCATCCTCTGTCGTTACTCACTATCATATTATTTCCCATTTCAGAATACACAGAAAAAGTTAGAAGCTTTAGCTGTATGCTGGTAAGTTATTCTATGGTAGTGTATGATGGTTATTGCTGTACTGATTTGATCATGAATGTACGAAATGTTGTTGGGCGCGTGATGTGTGCAGATATTGTCAATGCACACGGCGCGCAAAAGCACATCATATATTTGTCTATTGATTCGATGCCCATGAATGTAGTATATTTATAAGACACCTATAGAGTAGCATGTATGTATGAAGACGTGTGTGTTGTACTTCCTATGTCCATGACTATAGAATATTTAAAGTGCCCTATAGAGTAGCATGTGTGTATGACTACGTGTTGTACTTGCATCTACGCTGTTGGTCTGTCTTTGCATGTCTGTGACGTGAGCTATTCATAGAAAATAAGCTTGCCATCTACGCGCCCTTTTTTCCACTTGAACAGGTTACTGTTACTTTCGCAACTCAAACTTAGCATAAACTGTAATCATCAATCAACTCGGCCTGGGAGCATGGTACACACAACATGCATACCTCGATCTGCGTCTAGTCTAGCTAGTTGCAGGCATATATATATATATATATGTGTGTGTGTGTGTGTATATATATATAAGTATGTACGTGTATGTGTGTGTATGTATATATATATATGTGTGTGTGTGTGTGTATATATATATATATATATATAGAAATATATATAAATATAGATATATATATAAATATATATATATATATATATATATCAATTTAAGTGTCGCATTCGCTGTATAAGACACACGTGTGTACTGCTGTAACCTACCCCTTTTCTCGTACTTTCTCAGGACATCTGGCGAGAGCTCCATGCAAGGCCGACGCCCGACAATGGAGGATGCGCATTTACTCCTTAATAGTTTCACGGACAGGTATGTTTGACTCAGAAACAACCCGAGGTATCGGCACTCCAGCGCACACTCTCTTTTATCCAATACAGTGGCTGATGGCAATCCGTAGTCCTAATGTCGGTTCACGCGTGGTGTGCCAGATATCGCGTGGTATTACACACGCCTGTAAATGCAGATTCACCCTTTGAGTACCACATATTGTACGATCTCACACCGACACTTTAACGCCTTATATATCAGTCCTGTAGGTAACCATAACAACAACCCCTTACCCCCAAACACCCCCAAAATATTTATGTATGTATGTATGTATGTATGTATGTATGTATGTACGTATGTATGTATATATATGTGTGTGTGTGTGTGTGTGTGTGTCTATGTGTTTATTTATGTATGCATATATATATATATATATGAACCCTATTTCGGCACTTTTTTTATCTGGGCTATACCTCAATTCTGAGGCGACTATCGATTGCACTCTGACCGTTTGCGCCGTAAACACACGTACAGCGGCGACGGCCTGTTTGCCGTATTTGATGGTCACGCAGGCGATGATGCTGCGCTTGTGATGGCGCATGTGTTCGCAGACGAATTCCTAAAAGGTGTGTAAACAATGCACATGGATAAGTATATGTGCTTTGGGCGTATATCGGTATGAATACGTGGGCTAAAAGCTGCATTTTATCAAGTTGTCCTATCGGTTTAGACCGCTTACAGGTGAGAGGATCTCACCCGCCTTGGTGCAATTTACGCGCACAGTGTATATGCGTAGCCCTTGAAGTAAAATATATTAGAATAACAGCAACCTGGGCAGCATCTTATCTACACTTTGACTGCGGGTGTCGATCTGTTTTGCGGAAATTAAACGAGACCAATTAATCAGTGTGAGCATCTATATATATTGGCATGTATATATATATATATATGTGTGTGTGTGTGTGTGTGTGTGTGTGTGTGTGTGTGTATTATTATATTATTATATTATTATATTATTATATTATTATATTATTATTATATATCATTATATCTATAATATATTATATATATATATATATATATATTATGTCTATATATATTTATATATATACATATATATATATATGTGTATGTATATATGTATGTGTGTATGTATATGTGTATGTGTGGCTGTGACTGTGACTGTGGCTGTATTTTTCTAAGTAGCTATGTATCTATATGTATATTCACCTCCCTTCATGTACCTACTGTGTTGGGAAGTGTTGGGATGTATTGAGTTGTTAGGTGTCCCTATACATTCAATATATTCTCATTGAAACACGACCAGCCTGATGAAGTGCATGCCGTGTGTTCTCAATGGACTTTTCGATAAGAATGTACACAGTGTACCACTGCCGCACAACCGCTGTGTAGGAAGCGAGGCAGCCAACCTAGTCACACTTGAACGATATAGAGGAGAGACAAATCAAGAGCTATCCAATTCGGTGACAAACCTGTTTATAGCTATGTAAACTCGGAAATCTGCAACGCTGACACACACTAGTTAACCATATTAAATACGGATACACTAAACCCGTTACACTTATTCCGTGCCTATTTCTGCAGCGCTAGCGGATCCGCCAACTGGGTGTTCGTGCGGGTGTGTGTGTGAAAAGGGGTGCTACAAATCAGTCATGTTCTCGGCCTTCAGAGAAGCGAATCACATTGTGGGCGGCAAGAAATTCGACAAGGTAGGCGCACGTGTATCTGTTGTGTACTGTTATGGTGTCTTCTCCCCATGGCTCAGGCGGCACACGTGTGGGGCTTTGTGTGTGTGTTACACTCTAGTTTGCGCTGGTTTTCGGATCATTAGAGAAGTTAGGCCCCTTCCGGTCCTTTGTTTTTTTTAGGTGGGGGGAGGGGGGTTGTCCATCTAGTTAGGTTGAATAACTACGGACGGTAGCGTATATCAACCCAAAGGGTGATATCGTATTGTGTCGTACTGTTAAGAGATCTAATCCCATACGCAGCTCGTAGTATGCAGTAGCGGGTATTGCCGCAAGCTTGTGCGCGAACACACCCACACATTCCCTTCAACCCAACACGCACGATGGGGGATATGTCTCGGTTGTTTCACATACAAGGGTCCAGTATAACCAATGCCTTGACAGTCCACCCGGCTTAAACGGTGCGCATGTGGCCCTTTTACATATATCCTTTTGTGTCGGAACTTTGTACCGTCACGCAACGTGTATGATCTTACGAGAACACACATGTGCGTATACGCTCACAGGGTGGGGCGACATCAGTTGTGCTATACATAACGCCGCCCATCCAGGCCCAAAGCGCTGGCGAGCCAGCCGGCTGCAAATGCACAGAGGCTACACCCGACGCAGATGTATGCGAGGGTACACACCACAGGAATACAGTGGGAATCAATACAGCCACACACACCATTGACATAGCAACGGACAACACCATACCGAACGAAGATACTAGCATGGCCGGCGCTCGAACGCCTGAGGGAGTGAACAGTGATGATATCACCAGCGTTGCCATGGTTACGGAGGGGAGTGATGGTATAGAAATCAATGCGGAATCTGTGGGATTTGCGGTGGATACGGTTGTCCAGACCGCCAATGTACCCACAGAGGGTCTCAGCAATGGCGCTCCGTCTGGCTCCGAGAATGGGGAGAGGTATATGGTGATAGGCAACGTGGGCGATGCTGAGGCGGCCATGTGCATGTCCGACGGGACGGCTGTTGAGCTGACAGTCAAGCACAGCATATGCAGGAAAGAGTATGTCACTATCAAATCAAGCACAGTTTATGCAGGAAAAAGGATGTCACTATCAAATCAAACACAGTTTATGCAGGAAAGAGTATGTCACTATCAATCAATCACAGTATATGCAGGAAAATGGATGTCACTATCAAGTCAAGCACAGTGTATGCAGGAAAGCGTATGTCACTATCATCTCAAGCACAGTGTATGCGGGAAAGAGTATGTCACTATCAAATCACGCACAGTATATGCAGGAAAGAGTATGTATCTATCAAATCAAGCACAGTATATGCAGGAAAGAGTATGTCACTATCAAATCAAACACAGTATATGGAAAGAGTATGTCACTATCAAACCAAGCACAGTATATGCAGGAAAAGTATATGAGAGATCCTATGCGCTTGTAGCAAGTCACTATACCTTTGCAATACCTTCCATGGGCACGAGTTTGCCAGATGGTGACGAAATTTACGCGTCTCAGCATAGTACGTCATATTACTGTGCGCATGTTGCGACTTCCACTTTGATAGCTAGTGGCATGTACCGTGCTAATGGGTGGTCGTGTTGTTCAAACCACATGCCTTCTGTGTGGAGCACACGTGCATAACCCAATCTAGTATAGCATACTCAGCTCGATCCTAAAGGCTAAGTATAACTACAAGGAATTGCAGAATATATCTTTAACAGCAATGGATCATCCTTGGATACTTACTTACCTGCATATGTAGCTAAGCATCCCTCTCTTTACGAACGAAAAATCCTTTCTGATACGATTCTATCCCATCCTTCTCCATATAGAGAGGAAACTAGGATAAGATCGCATGCAGGTGGCTATATTACAGATGCGGGGCGTGTCGTCGGCGTGCTAGCGACTTGCCGAGCGGTGGGTGACTTCCGGCTATACCCATACGTCAGCTGCGTGCCGTCGGTGCGGAAAGTGAAACTCACCCAGGACGTGAAATTCGTTATCCTGGCATGGTAATACCAATTTTTGGTCGTTTGTGTGTGGAGTTGGGCGTGGTTATACCTTCTTTTTTATAATGTTCGTGCACTTGTAGACAGACTGTGTGCGCGCTGGTAAACGGTACCTGCGTGTATTGATCTTCAATAGAAACAACGATGTGTGTATGAAGTTGATACCTGTGTGAAGATACGTGACGACAAGACTTCATGTTTTGTATGTGCTCAATACGATCGTATTTACATGTGTATGCATAGAAAACGTATGTTTAAGCGCACATGTATATGTAAGTACATGGATTTATATATATGTATAGATGTAGTCACATAAATGCTCGTTTAATATGGCTATACCATCGTACAAAACCATGTATACACGTATCTGTTTATTTTGTATTCTACTCTTTAATGTGTAAATGTAACTTACTCTCGTGTTCAGGCTTGACACTTGAGCTTTTGGTTGCTAATCGTTTGCAAACGTGCTTCTATATATCCGTGTCCGTATCTGCATGATCAAATGAATGATGTATTTACGAACTGTATACCTAGTAGTTTATATATAATATCATATACTTGCGACGTATGGACACATAGACACTTTACAACTTAGACACTTTACAACTTAGACACTTTACAACTTAGAAAATTTGCAATTTTGTGAATAAACTTGTGTTCTTATTGTGTATTTATTCATTTATTTATTTTTCTATTCTTCTTATTTTAGTGATGGTCTATTTGATGTCATGTCGCTCCAAGAAGCCGTGGACCTGATAATCGACTTCACGGATCCGGCAATGGTATGCAACTGATCCTTACACTAAACAACTCGTCCAAATGAGCGTTGTGTTATGAGCTAGTTGTGAGAAGGGTGGTGTTCGAACTTGAATATTCGGCCTGACAGTCCATTGCTTTGGACGTTTTAATTCGCGCGCAGCACACCACGGGAAATCATCATTATGTGCGCCGCCATGTATTCTAATATCCAAACGTGTTCACTCCAACCCCAACTCCATTGCGTCCGGCATCACAATCCATTCTAGCACCCAGCTTTGAGCGAATACAGAATGCCTCTACTTATACTTGTCACATTGTGCCTTACAGAAGCCGCATTATTTATTTTTTATAACCAAGTGTATCCATAGCGTAATCACGTGCTTTTAGTTTCCCAATAACTACTCAACGAATGGTACGCTTGATAAATGACGTATATCACTGTATGTTTGTGCTGTGCTCATTCTCAGTAGCGTCAAGGCCGACTAAGCTACAAACCGACCAAGACAGAGTGTAGAATGAATTATTTAAACCAGTTCCTAACATATGTGCAGTGCGTGTCTGTCCGGTGTATGACCACATGCGCCAATGTATGTTTGGAAATGATGTAGCACGCGTATTCCATGTTCCCCGCGAGATTATACAAACGTGAAAGTTAAACATATATCGCCCCGATCTAAACTTTGCAAATATACTTTTGCTCGCCACTCACGCAGGCCGCAGCCTATCTGAGGAATTATGCATTCGCCATGGGCTCTGCCGATAATATTAGTGTACAGGTTATTCTCTTCAACCACACTTGAGAGATCGGGCTCGTTGCTATCAATACACGAGGGATATGTTGTTCTCGTCAAGAGATGGCTTGCCGATGATTCGATATTCTGAATGAAGCTTTTTGTAAAAGCAAACAGAATAAAATTGAGCAAATTAGTGATATTGCTAACGCCTATATCATTAGCTGTGTTTAGGGGGATTTCAGAATATTCTGAGCAACTAGAAAAATGGCGTGTAAATCAATCGACGTCCTGGTCCTCTGTTGTTTGTATGTGATGCAGCGGAAGTCGCAGGATTCGCCAGAACACTGCATATCAGTTTTCACCATGCTAGAGTCTCTCGCTTGTTTCCTGTTAGCAGTGTCCCTTCTTGTGTTGTGTCTGTATCCCAGATTTCTACCGTACCGTCAACATAAGGTGTACTAAAGCATCAGCTATTACGTCACGCAACTTCATGAGCATTATTTGTGGTCAGTCTTATATAACTTGAGATATACAACCAACAATATCTTTTTCTGATTGATACTCGCATAATTATGAGACTATACTTTTGTTGGTTCAGGGCAATAAAGATCAAGATTGGATTACTTACTATAATCGAAGGACCGGAGTTCTGGTCACTCTCAATTATAAGCTATAGCGATGTAGCTATTGTGCCACTATGTACCCTCTGGAGTGTAACATGCTCTGACAATGTGGTGCAACACAGGTCAGAGCTATAAAAGGTCAATAAAGCGCGACGCCGTTGAAATGTACAGCTATCGTTTCTATTTAACCAATCAAAATGAACTGAATGACTTTTCGTGGGTGATCTTGGAATGTTAACATCACATGTAGCCTCTAGACTTTATTATTCACTGATAGGTATACCTTCTATGCTCCCTATCTACTGGTTGTTATACTCCCCCTTCGGATTACCTCGCCTTCATTATATTCATGGACTTATGGATGGGATTCTTGCACTTGCACTGATTTTGCCTTGACAACCAAAAAAAAATGCACATTAACACAATTTCTATTAGATGTACCCATTGTGTGTTGGCCGAATCTTGAGGAGGCCTTGTACTTTTATAGGCACAGAGTGTGGCTGACTATACTGATCAAGTAAAAAGATACATGTAGTAGGCATTCAAGCCCTAAAAACTCGCAGATTCACTTTGTGAAGGATGACGTGCAGCAGCGACTATATCGTGCAGATGTACATGCTTATGGTGAACGGCTAGCAACCAATTGTAAGACTTCATCATTTTTTGGAGATTTAAAAATACAAGCAGCGGGAATATGCTCCTACCTTGCATCATTCTGCAAACTTACGAGAGCTATAATACGTACAGAAAAATACGCAAACTATTTTAGGGCTGAGGGAGTTTCTAAGCTCCAATCTATGAGCCTGCCATATGCATGTTTGAACCTGCCAAGATTGTTGGACTGTGTCATTCCATAAGTTTAGTACCGGATTTACAGCATATTGCAGCTTCTGATATGATAAACAAATTGCGGCGCTGCGACCCCAATATGGTCCTCTTTTGCTTGCCTGCGATGCTCCCCCGGTTCAGCAAGCAGACACTTTAAGTTGATATGTCAATTCTTCGAATATTTGCACTGTAGAGCGTCTCCGTGATGATAAATATCATGGTACCTTGAAAAGTGAACATATCTCCCAGAGTCCCTCTTCGAGCAATTGTGGTATCACCTTCTTCAATACCTGAACATACACTTGCACACACAGACAAGAAACGGAATTTTTTTTTGCAACCTTAATTTATCCACAAAAGAAATTCATTCCGTAGTTTTGAACTTTATGATTTCCTCGTAGCCACGATCCTCAAGGATATTCGGTGTTATAAAAGTTCCACATGATGCATTCGGAAGTTAGGTGACTGTCCTATTCTCCTAGGTGACCGTCGTAGTTGGATACTGCAGCTTCTATTATGATAAATAAATCGTGATATCGTGACCCTCAGATGGCCCTTATTTTTTCGAGCCGCTCTCGGCGCGGCAAACAACTACAATAGCAGGAATTTGGTGAACCGTTACATTACTGTCACTATAGCGCGTCTTTATGTCTGCCGGAGTGCCACTTCAATCAAATTTGCAAGATCATCGTCTATCTAACATATCTCCTTCCATCTTCACTTGCTGTCGTGATTGAACTTTTACATTGTATTCCTTTGGAGAGTTTGAGACTCATCTCGATAACTATATATCTACCATACACTCACTAGCTGTATTTTTCAATACGTGATTTCAACATTAAATGTCTAAACGGTGCAGATATACATTTACGTTTTTTAGGAATAATTTACCATGTCATCTTGTTGTGAAGTCAATATCTCAGGTATTGAGTTACTGGGTTCTATATTAAACCCATACGATAGCGAAATACTATTTTGCGAGTATATCAAGAGGGTCCAGAATTTGCATTGCTATTGCATATGTATTCAAGAGTACTCCTTTTGATTCCGATCGTTCTTATAATTCAATAGTTGACACACCAACGAATGTGAAATCATTATGTTTATATATATAAACATATCGGTGTACACTGTACTCATATATGTGTTGTCATTCGATGTTACGAATATGGTCCGGATATGGTCGAAATTTCTTATACAGAAGTTGACGATAACATATATATAGATACACTGCTGTGATCACTGACAGATCCGACCCACCTGAAGTTCATCAGATCCAGTTTTTACGTGTCCGCAAAGCACCTTTTTTTTTTTGCAGAAGTCGATGCTGAAACTTGTAAACACATTAATATACGCACAAAATGGAGTTCCTTGGCCGCAACGTGTTTGTTGTAACATTAGCCGATGTCAAAATAATGGTATTGCTCCGCCACTACCTCCTATATAAGTGCAAGTCAAACTCTAATGGATCTAATAGTGAGTAATAGATTCTATTTTTTTAAATGCTCTAGTCATTTTGATTTCAGAGTACATACAGTACTCCCGAGTCTCATCTTGTACATTTGTAGATTATGTGCTAATCTACATGAATGTACAATACAAATGTTTCATTTAAATACATAAAAAAGGCCACACATAATATAAAATAATAAAATTTATAAAAAATATTGATAAGGCTGTGAGCGTGGATGATTTTCTAGTTTCTACTTTCTCCGGTACAAATTAATAACATTTCTTTACGTATGGGTCTATAGAAAGCAGTCGCGACCTAGGAGACCAGCTGTGAGCTACCCAAAATTGTATTCTCCAGCATGCACGAAAATAAGCGCCCCAGGTTGGAAGCCTCAAATTACGCCCTCCTTGTAGAAAAACCGAGCTTGAGCGCTCCGTTACTTAACTCGGATGTTAGAAACAATATTCGGGAGGCTTTTGCCGCAGCGGAGACCAAAATGTAAGAAATACGAATATGCTTACGTTTGCTACGCACAGGAATAAGAAAATGAGCTTGCGTGTCACTGGTACGCTTTTATATATCGAATATGCATGCTGTATGTTTCTACTGGAGGTACTTTAGTGTGCCACGGTTGCACTTCCACAGATGAGTGGGACTACAATCGCTACAATCGATACATGTATACACACCCTCACACTCACACTCACACTCACACCCCACATATATATATATATATTTATATATATATATATATACTCACACCCACTCACACACACACACACACATTTA